AGAGAGAGAGAGAGAGAGAGGGGCTGAACGGAAAGCAACATCACCGCCTTTTCCATCCAGCATCTCCACCGACCGACACCGAACTCGAGTGGGAACACACAACTACTGTCCTCCGGTGTCCAGAGTTCCCCCTCCTCCTCCTCCACCACCTCAAAATGTCCGTGGGCAGTGACTTTGGGAACCCTTTAAGAAAATTCAAACTCGTCTTTCTGGGGGAGCAAAGTGGTAAGACGCGTTTAATTCTCCCGAGAAGTTCATTTTTGGTCGTGAGTCAAGTGAACCCGTTGCACCTGCCGGTCAGTCAGCAAGTTCATCTGCTGGAGGAGACGTTGAGCTAGCTAGTCTGGCGCCAATGCGTCTCTCCTGAGTTCACTGTCTACAACTGAAGATGGGGAGGAAAAAAATAACCTGTGTGTGTGTTCAGTTTGTGAGGGTGAGGGAGGGGAGGGTGGGGAGGGGAGGGCATTGTTTTAATCAAATTAGGAGCCTGTAAGGTTTCACACAATGGGCTGGAGTGTGTTTATGGTAGCCTGCAGTCTCTGAGTTTAACTGTACAATTACAGAGGCTCGAATAATGTCCACCTTGTAAAGCGTTGTAGCTGGCTATTAATTAGTTTGAAACATCCTGGACTAGCTATTGGGATTTATACAGGATCAGTTGCAAGTGAGTAAGGCTCGGTAAACGAGCCTGAATGTGTGCATGTAGGGAGAGTGTGTGTGCAGCCTCGGGTCTGATGCTGGGGATGATCCGAGTTGGTAAATATTCCTGTGTGTGGAGACACACCCAGGTTGTCAGTGGCGATGAGATAACTTGTGTGGCTGCAGTCTGTCTCTGCCCGGGAGTTGTTCCAGTCTGCCTGCCGAGGCTGACCAAGTTTGTGATTCTGCATGATGACTTGTTCTATTAATTATTGGTTCTTGTGGAGACTGATCTTTATCTGAGCCTCAGCCTCAAGCTTTTACTCACCCACACCCTCAGACATGCAAAAGCGTCCCCTTTTTCTGAGGCTTCCGTGTGGCAACAAAATTGTTTTCCAGAAGATTACACTGAGCTGGCTGAGACATGATTTGAATCTTTAGGTTTACTTTGTCTTTGGAACAGGGCAGGTCTGTTAGTGGTCTAATTCAGAGGTCTTGAGCAGCCAAATGAACCACATTAGTCATGGTTCAGTCCTTCAGTAGGCCCTATTGATCATCCACTATAGTGGCCCATGCATTACGGAGTGTGTTGTTCCATTTACAACAGTGTAGCATTCTTATTATCTACATAATAACAGATACATGTTGTCTGTACAACCAAACATTGATGAACACAGAGATACCTTAACTGAACCTGAGAATGAATACTGACAACTGATGATGCCCCGCAGTGCTCGTGGTCAACACTGGTGCTGAGACAATTTGTCCATCAACAAAAAAATCAATTGCCAGCTATTTCTATAATCGTTTCATCATCATTTAAGTAAAATAATGTTTTGGTTCCAGCCTCTCTAATGAGAGATTTGCTGCTTTTCATTGCCAATTTAATATCTTTGGGTTTTAGACTGTTGGTCAAACAAGACAAGACATTCTGACGAAGTTGGGCTCTAGGAAGATGTGATGGTCATTTTGAACTATTTTCCAGCATTTTGACAGATTCAACAATAATCAATCCATCAAAAAAATCAGATAGAAAGCAATGAGGACAATAGTCATTAGTGCAGCTCTAGGTAAGATGGCTTCGAGTGCATTCAAAAGATATTAAATGAGATTCTTCACATTACTCTCTGTAACCTATAAAACAATTCCCCCTCTCTAAATGAAAGCAAATTAGAACCACTATGTATATCGTATCCAAACAAAGGCCTGTTGGTTGGCTTTACTCCTGGGCAGTTTTATGATATTAAGTGCCAAGCAACAAGCCAAAGGGGATTTGGCTGCACAAACATAATATCAGGGAGTGTACTGTGTTCACCAGACAATGAATCTGGCTGAATGGTTTGACATTCTGAACAATGGCCAATCAAACTTCTTCAGTATTCAAAAGGACGTATAGGTTTTGAGAATGATGTGGCACAGAGGACATCTCCAGCAGAGGAGAATAATCTGATTGATCTGATTGTTTTACTATTTGTGTGTGTGTGTGCTATATAAAGCATTATTTCCGGCTCTTGTAAGCCTCATTGATTCATTCTTCAAATACGAAGAGTCCTCTCTCTCTATCATCATTTAGATGCTGAATGAGCAACTGGTTGCAAATACAAGCAGAGGCATCAGGTTTATGGGGGTTTCCAGGTTTGCTGCAGGACTACGGTCTACAATAATTACCGACATGTTTGTGTCATATATGAACATAAATTGGTTGTTACTGACCGTTGGCCTGAATTATTGATGAGGAGGACCATTGGACCACTTAAATTCCATAATGGTGCAACTTCCTTTCTTTTTGCTGTAGCTGCTTGCTCATTGCTCAATAAAATCTGCTCTTAAAAGGTTCCTTTGTGGGGTTTTGTTTTTTCACTGGCCAAAAACAATGATGAGGACATCTGTTAATGTCCTATTGAGATATATTTTATGACAAACATACTGTACAATAGCATTTGTGGATTCTCTAATGACAGGTAACAAGAGGATCACCAAACCAGCATTTCCTGTTATTACTGCTGACATCACCACTTGTAATTATGGTAACTGCTGTAAAGTTTCTTATCAGCAAGAAGATAAACCTTTGGCCTAATATAATCTTTGTAGGGTTTGTAGGGATTTTAGCAAGTAAGAAGCGGTGGTTCGCCTCATTCTGTAGCGCTTTTGGTAAAATGGCGAGGGCCGTTGAACTCTTAAGCCACTGGAGACCCCACTGGTCTGTGATGAGGGGTCCCACTCCCTGCCAGTCTGGAAGAGTGAAGTGTGTGCCTGTTATCAGTGCGAGCGAGGGGCTTTATTTGTCAACCAGTGCTCATCCAGACAGCGGCAGCGGCAGCCTCGTTTGATTGGGTCGTCTCCGGTGGAGCTGTGTCTCTCTGACATGTCTGCTATAATTGCAGCTGGTGCCCAGGCGGGCGTGAATCCCGTCAGCTCTGCCACTATCATTTATTAATGTACACGACTGGACTCAAGTATGTCAGGAACAGGGGCATGAGTACAGAGGCTGCGGTGAAAAGACCATTTATTCTTTGTTCCTGTGTGCAGTGAGGGCCCATAATGGTGGAAGTGTCTGAAAAATGTGCCTGTAAAGGGAAAGATGGCATGATGTTCTGTTTTTCATAAAAGAATCAGCTAACGTCAGAGAGGTGGGGGCTCCAGATTAAGTGGGTGGAAGCAGGCAGAATGTTAAATGAGCTGTCAGGAAGTCTCTCCTCCTGCATACTTCTTTGGGTGTTTTCTACACTGCCTGTACAAAGGAGGCCCACTAAAGATTTCCTTGACAAAGCTGAAGGCTTTAAGCAGGCCAATCAGCTGTTTCTAGGTCTGTGTGCCCACACTGCTGGCAGAAACGGCATTTTCCAAGTTCCAGCCTCAGAGAAATCTACCAGGTCATTGTCAGAACACCTCAGATTACTGCTCTGCATTTATTGGGTCATAGACGTTTTGCCATAGGCACGTTTTCAAAGGAGCAATACTGCATGGTACTTTGTAAAAGCTAATTGTTTGGAGGTAATCCCCTGCTGCATGCTTCATTTCACCTCAGACAAACAGATGGGAATACATTTGGTAGATGCATCCGCATGGCTGCCATGAGATTTTGCTCACTGAATCAAAATGCCATCTTCCATCTTTCACTGCACAGAGATTGCCATCGCACAAACGAGAGCTGGCTTCAAAATACTGCTGAATCACCGCACCAATATGCTTCAAAGTAGGGTTTAGTTGGTTGTCTAATGCATCAATCACTGTGTCTGCAGGGAACAGCTTTCTGAGCAAATGAAACTCTGAGTTTTGGCTTGCCCAGGCAGGGAGCAGCCGACACATTTCCTCACTGTGGCTGTGAAACCACAGATGCAGACATAGATACTAAATATTAACACACACATGCACACATCAAAAACATGGTATACACCACCAGAGACCAGACTTTTCCCGTCTTTTTGCTGGTAATATTTAAGGCTTTGGTTTAAGTTTGATTTGAAACGGACTTCTGAAAAACTGCTTCCGGCACTTAACGTATGTGGAGCTTGTATTGTGCACCCATTTCCTCACAGAAACGGAGACAAACAATCAGTGGTGAGAAGAATGTCTTGCTGGTGTGAATCAGGAAGGTTGCAGATGAAATGTGTCGAGAACACTGCTGTGATTTTCATGTAGGCTGGTTGGCTTTTGTTTGTCTTGTCTCTATGCAACAAAAAGAATAATTTCATTATACCACAGGCCGTTAAAGTAGTCATTTATGTTCATCATAAAGACACAGAACAAAGTATATTTATGTGACAATTTGAAGTGCGTGTTTGAAAGAGCTAGGACTGTACCAAAAATGATTATTTTTCTCGGTATGAACATGGTGCGACCAGGTCACATCACTGTCTTTGTGTCTGTCCTCTGCTCTCTGACCGAGGGTGGGGCTGAGCTACACAGATGCAGAGAGGCACAGCAGGTAGGATCAAGTTTGCGGTTCGGCAGTCTTTGCACAAAATCTGGCAATGCAGGACCTTTTGGCTGGGTTGTGCGGAGGCGTGGCCATGTTTAATTGTGCTAAAATGTAACCACCGACTAATGCTGCTCCCTCTCCTCACCCACTCTCTAGCTCGCTCGACCACTGCTGCTCTTGCTCATTGTGCCAGGGAGGAATGAATGATATGTTTGCAAACAGCAACCGATCCTACTCGTTCTGCCTTGAAGATCAGATCACTTTATTGAAACTGAGGATTTTGTTTAGGGATTTTTTTTTAAGGGTGATGATGTCATAAAGTGTGAGGACAGACATTTGAAGCTTCAAATGTAAACTAATGACATTCAGTACAGCCCTAGTTTTCACTGCTGCAGTACCACAGTAGGTTTAGGAAATGATCAACAAATGATCCACATGAGCTTGGTTTGGTGCTGATATGCCACACCCAAGAAACAATTGTCACGTAGGGTTGGGCAAATTATTTTAGGAAACACCAAAACCACAGTATTCTGAAAACTCTTGTTGTGCAATGCTGTATATATAGCCTCAGGTGTGTGAAGGGTGGAGCACGTGAGTTCTGTTGGCTAGTTAAAGCACAGTGAGGCAGGTCACAGGGCTTAACCGGTGCCTCAGCAGCTCCTCA